ATGGGGGAGTCCCTTAGCCGGTTTGTACGTGTTGTGGGTAGCTCAAAGGTTCGGGAGAACCTGAGCGTGCGAATGGGTTGTATTCGGGGTAGGTGAATTGCAAGAAGGTGTGGTGGTGCATATCTATGATGCAGGCTATGTGCAAGAAGGATATGGGAGAGGGTACGGCGGCTGCTGAGTGATGGCCATTTGAGTCGGTGCAGCAGCACGGAGTGGGTTCTGTGTTCAAAGAGGGTGAGATGCAAACAGAGGCGAGCGGTGCGCCATTGGATGCGCTCAAGCCGGTCGTTCAGGGTTGCGGGGAGGGGTGAGAGGACAGTGCAGGCATACTCAAGAATAGGGCGGATGTAGGTTAGATAGATGGAGGAGAGAGCAGAAGTGTTTAAGGAATTGCGTAGTCGCAGGAGAAGGAACATCTTCCTGGTCGCTTTAGTGATGATGTAGTCAACATGCGAGTTGTTTCAAATCTTTATTCTCACGATAGCCAGTGGCCAATAAGAGATAATAGTGTAAGAAAGGAGAAAGAGTGAGGAAGAATTGGGTGGGCAGGGCCTAGGGGTTAATGACTACTTAAGTGTACGGGCAGGGGTGGTCGCCACACGAGCATACAGAGTTGTGTACTTAAGTGTACGGGCAGGGGTGGTCGCTACACGAGCATACAGAGTTGTGCAACAGCAGGGATATCTCGGATTTGAAGGGAGTACGAGAAGGGATTTCGCGAAGCTGGGTGGGCAGGCAATTAAAGTAATGAAGGGCCTTGTACAGGGGAGAATGGAGACAGCGGTCAGTCCGCGGAGTTGGCAAGTGCCAAGTACGAGAGCGACGTAAATTATACGAAGGCTGCACGTTGCTAGCAGTATGCAGCGAGAGTATATGTGGTGGGGCATAATTGTGGCGCAGAGAATGCGCGAAGAGTATATGTTTAACTTTAAAGCGTGAAAATAATGTTGGCCATTTGATGCGATGCAAAAGGTGGGAGTGTTCTAAGTGTGTGTAAAGGGGAAGGTGGAGACATATTCTGGCGGCTTTCCGCTGGAGTCGTTCTAGCCTGTCAAGGGAAGTGTGGGACAACAGTGTGAGAGCATTGCTCGCATATGAGAATATAGGTAGTATGTATGTCTGATAGATGTGAGATAAAGAATCACTGGTGAGTGTAGACCTTAGTCTAAAAAGAATATTGAAAGACTTGAGTGATTTTTTGACTATGTATTCAACATGCTCCGTCCAACGGAGGTCATGCTGAAAGATTATTCCGAGGTGTTTGTGTTTTTGTGCTACGGTAAGCGGACTATTCCTGAGGGTGATCTGGGGTAGCTGTTCAGGGGGCGGTTATTGTGGTAGAACGGGAGGATGACTGTTTTCTTTGTGTTAACCAGCAGGTGCCATCTTTGAAGCCAGTCTCCAGCTGCTGTGACACTCTGTTGTAGGTTTCGGGTGCAGTCTTGAAGAGTTCTCGCTATGGAAATCAGAGCGGTGTCATCTGCAAATTGGCTACAGGTGGTGCCGGGATTCTCACATGCATGTGGAAGGTCTATGGTGTAGACGAGGAATAGAAGCGGCCCAAGAACAGATCCCTGAGGGACGCCGGCAGGGATCTCGAGGAAAGGCGATAGGTCGCCATCCACCTGGACCCTTTGCCGACGCCCCAACAGGTACCGTCGGAACCACTCCAGAGCGTTGCCCTGGACACCATAGTGGGAGAGTTTTGCTAGAAGGCCTGCATGCCACACACGATCGAAGGCCTTGCTTAGATCAAAAAAGCAGGCATTGACGGGTTTCCCGTCGTCTCCCGCAGTGGAGAGGGTATGGACGAGACGGGCGAGTTGCTGCTCAGTGCCGTCTTTCTCACGAAATCCGGACTGCTGGTTGGGCAGGTGGGGTGTGATGTGCTTGTAGAGGAGTTGATGTGCAATTTTTTCTTGGATTTTTGATGTAGTGCTCAAGAGAGAGATGGGTCTGTAATTTGTTGGTTGGGTTGGGTCACCGGGCTTGGGTACTGGTGTAATGGTGGCATCTTTCCACTCCTGTGGGATTTCTCCGGTTTGGAACGATAGATTAAAGAGGGACGATAACGACGGTGCAAGTTCCTTAGCCGCTTCTTTGAGTAGGCGGTTTGGAATAGAGTCGAACCCGGGGCTTTTATTGGTATCCACTCCGCGGAGGAGTTTTTCGACCTCAGCTTGGGAAGTCGAGATTTCTTGAAGGGGACTGAGGATGTCAGGGGTGGTGTTGATGGCTGGAGTTTGCTCATCCGCATTGGCCACGGACAGCTTGCTCTGTGAAATGAAGAATTCGTTGAGGGCAGCGGCTTTTTGTGCTGGTGTCGTTGCAGGAGTTGCTTGGCTGACGAGTTCGGGTATGCGTTGTTTTGTAGCTGTAGTTAGGTGCTTCATGAGGCGGTGTAGGGAAGTAGAGGAGGCTGTTGAGTTGTTTACGAAATCCGATTTTGCACGACGCAGGAGGGTGGTGACACGGTTTCTTTGGGCAGTGAACGTGTTCCAGTCGTCGGGCGAGCGTGAGTGGAGGTATATTCTGTGTTTTCTGTGCTTATCCTTGATCTCTTTCAAGAGGCCCTTTGATATCCATGGTCGTGCTGGCACGTTCTTCCTGTCCCAAGGGGGGTGAGTGCGAGTAACTTGGCAGTGTTCTTGGGCGATGCTCAGGACTTTGTCGCGCCAGGATCGCCAGAAGATGTCAACTGGGCATGGGTCGTTTTCGTTTGGATGGTGGTTGAGATTTGTGCGTGAAAGGGCTTCTCGAAGAAGGTGGATAGTGCTGTCTGTTCATGACCAGAATGTGGTGCTTCTGGATCGTGGAGGAGAGTTGTTAATTATGGGGGGCAGTTGATTATGGATGTGGCCACTGATAGAAGTGTGATCGGATGCGCCAAACGGTGGTAGTGATTGGATATGAACATCATTGCTGTGGAGTGAGGAGATAACAAGGTCTAGACATGAGAGAGGTGTTTGTCGGTGGATGTAAGTAGGGAATCTGACATGTTGTGTGAGGCCGTATGTGTGTAGAAGAGTTTGTATGTCGTCCCCAAGGCGATCTGTTCTGTCTGTGGTGAGCCACGCACTGTTCTTGGCATTGAAGTCTCCAAGTAGTAGGAGGTCGTCACCTTCGGCTCTAGCGGTTTTAATGCTTCTTTCCAGTTCCGCACAGAAGAGGGTGCCATCGCTACGGGGTGGTCGGTAAATGTTTGCAACAACGAGGGAAAGGTTGTTGTTGTTGTTGTTGCTGACTTTTATTTTACTTCACCAATTGCACAGGCATGATTGCCTTCTTACCGGCCCATAGGTCTGGCTCTCACAGAAAAGACGAAGGATATTATATGAGGAAATGTATAGAGATAAATACATGCAAGCGGTATAATAATAATTATTATTATAGCAATGTTTGTTATGACATTGTGTGTATGCTGACACTCAATTTGTGTGAATTATTTTAATTGTGATAACAAATAATATGCAGTGGAAGCATTTCATGAAAATATGTGTGTGAACATTGGCAGACTTTGTTGGATGGGCACAATTTGTAGCAGTCCAGGGAACATGAAGTACAGCGAGAGGTGTTTGACTGTTGGCATAGAGTTTACAAGTTAAGTAGGTCAATATCAGATAGGGCTCTCTTGAATTGATCGGCAGCAGTTATCGATCGTACATCAGCCGAGAGGGTGTTCCATGCAATACTGCCGTGAAACATCATACTGTCCAAGCAGAAATATTCGTCTGGAATTTAATTTTGTCTTTTTCGTCCAAGGAGCTTCGGGACTAAATTAAATGCCGGACGACTGTCGATTTGTCCAGGGTTTCAATACACTGTTATAGTCCATGGACTAAATTTTCAACCGGACGAAATCCCTTTCTTTGGAGTTGGACGAAATTATTGACCGACGAAATTTTCTGCCTATACAGTACTCGAGCGACCAGCAGGTCCGCGAAGGAAAGGGACTTGGCCCCCTAGTGATGCGCTGATCGTTTAGCACAGTGTTTGGAACAGTCATTGTAAAAGAGTTGCTGTAGGAGTGGGCTACAATATCCATTGATACAGCGGTGTACAAAAATTAGAACTTTCTGAGTGTATGTGTGTGCCAGGCTGACAATACTAAGAAATACCAGAAGCGGTGCGGTGGGGGTGAGAAAGCGCTGTTGCAAGGTTGCACGAATGCTGGCTTTGAAACTCTTTGAAACGCTTTGGAGCGCCGGATCACTCTGCGGCGCTGGTTCTGTGGATTTAATGATGGATTGCTGGCTATCACTGTGTCCCTCTTGCCAAGAGCTTTCCAGAAAGCCCAAGGTGAGCAAAATCGGCCAAAGGACACCAAAGTTACGACCAGATAAGTAACTGGGCTCGCGTATGCAGTACATTCCTTGAAATAATCGTGGGCCCTAAAGGGAGGGTGGTGGTGCTCCAATGGATGCAGTATACTTAGGCTAACTAAGTCTGACACGAGCCATGAAAAATATCCACCTCTAGCCAATGAAATCTTTGTCTCCGCATTTCTTATTCGTATTACTTCCTCCGTTAACAAAAACTTCGCGATGGATTTTGATGGATATGAAAACGCTTAAAACAGGTCAAGAGCAGTTTGTGCCGACTGCAAATCACTGAACGAAGATAGTTCAGCCTATGTGCAGCATCTTTACAGGAGAAACTGTTGGCATTATGAGCAGAGAGTTCAGTTTGTGTCGCTTTCGCTCGACTCATTGTTGACCCTGCGTCGCTGTCGTCATCTGCTGCACGCGACTCGTCATTGCTCTCGAGTCGTTGTTCAGCTCGTTTCAGCCTTGCCTCGGCTTCTTTGACCACACTCCGCTGAACTTGATGCTGCCGTCGTTCAAGTAAGTAAGTTGGTTGGCATTCAAGCTGCGTAATCCACCGCATGGCCATTACTCGCTTTCACCTGGGAGTCGTAAAAATATTTTACGACTCCCTGGCTTCATCTTCGCTCTCCAGAACTCTGCGAAACGAGGAGTAAAGGCACGGCCAAACTGATTCCATTTCTCTGATTGATACTCCTACCAGCACTGAACGGCAGCGGCTAGCAAGTCCAGTCGACTTTCTTGAGCCACGAGACTCGCGTCGGACTGCTGACTTCTGAAAGTATGCATGGTCATCAACATTCGAATCTGGGCTTTGCGCAGGCTGAACAAGAACTTGAATTCAGAATTATTTCATTGTGCCATGCGATCGGAGCAGCTCCTTGTTCACTCGCTTATTGTGTAGGCTCGCTTCTCCGTTCCATCGCTCTCTATAACTCTCTTACTCAGTGCTAGAGTAGTAGAGAGGCCAAGCAGCGCCATTATCCCCTCGGCGAAGTGGTATATCAGTTTCGCTCGCCATGACTGTCATCACCTATGCTGCCACAACGCAACCATCGATTCCGCTCGGCTTGTTGTGAAAGGTCGCTTTCCTTGCATCGTACCTCTTTCATGGCATGTCAGGCAAGGCCGAGAAAGTGATCGCGACCCACTTCCCGGCAGTTTGTGCGCAAACGAGTCACTCAAAAATCCATCACGAAGATTTTGTTAAGGAGGAAGTAAAAATATTTAAAAAAATCAATATACCGTAGTGACGCGCATTTAAGCGCATGTGCCTACACCCGGGCATAAGGGTTGGTTCACATATCGCCGGTACGCGCCGGGAGTCACCGGCGGTGGGCTTCTTGCAACCTCTCCCGGCGCATTGCGATTGTGTGAACCAGTGCAGTCGTAACAAAATCATACGGTAAAATATCGCAAGGGACCGCCGGCAAAGTTGGACAGTGCCCAACTCTTGCGATCTGCCCCGGCGCTGATCCCGTACGATTTTGACCAAAAGTGGTTTGTGAACCGTTCGCGCCGGTGATCGCCGGCTGCCGGGAGCCAGACTTTGTCAAAATATCAAACCAATACTTGTCCTAAATTTTCCTAAATTGAAGCTAGAGAGGAGATCTGTTCGCCATTCTTGTAGTCGCTTCGAGGCGGCAAATAAGTCAGGATACCAGCCCGTCCTTCTCGGATGATCTGCTTGACCATTGTGCAACTTATGAGACAAATACAATTGAAACAAATATAAAATTATAATGGATACATTGGCAAGTTCTTGTGACTTCATCAACGTTTGCAAGCATAATTTCGACACAATCGCTTACTAGACTGCAAAAGAATGTGTAGAAGTAGTTTCATGATCTCCAGTAAAAGGTAGCACCGAGTGGCCATCACCGAAAGACCTTGAACTACTGAAGAAACAAAGAATTCAAGCTTCAATTGGCAAACCTGTCGTAGCATTTTGGCACATTCTGTACTACTTTGTAGTAGATTTGGTACTCGAACCGTAGGCGCAACGGATCGGGAGCTGGCTCACCGCCGATGTCTTGCGGCGCCGATTTTGCTTATGTGAACCAACCCTAAGCGCACCCTCACAAATAAGCGCATGGGCTTATAAGTGAACCTAAATGGAATTCCATCCGCGACACACAGACACCACAAAACACCATGTTCACATAGTTTAATACCGTAAAAGCCCGTGTATAGGCCAGGGGCGTATAGAATAGCAGCCTCGATTTCCTGGGCCTATACAAGGGCATGGGCGTTATTTTGGAACCGGGCGTATACTTGGAATAGGGATAGGAGTAAGTATTGGGTATCAGTACCTGTACATGTACTGGTGTTGCCGGCATACCTGGGCGTATACATGGGCATGGGCGTTATTTTGAAACGAAAGTTGTGTGCATCCCCTGACTGGGCGTGTACACGGAGAATGGGCGTGTACACGGAGAATGGGCGTATACACGGAGGGTGGGCGTATACACGGAGGGTGGGCGTATACACGGAGGGTGGGCGTATACACGGAGAATGGGCGTATACACGGAGAATGGGCGTATACACGGAGAATGGGCGTATACACGGAGGGTGGGCGTGTACCCGGAGGGTGGGCGTATACACGGAGGGTGGGCGTGTACACGGAGGGTGGGCGTGTACACGGAGGGTGGGCGTGTACACGGAGGGTGGGCGTGTACAGGGGGCTTCACGGTATGCAGCGCGGTATCGCACTATTTCCATAATTGTACAAGGCACCGGTATACCGTAAAATCCCGCCAGAGCGCCCCGTCTCTCCCATCCGCCCCTCCCTCACTTCTTGTCAGGGACGTGATCGACTGTATCCTCGTATGACTCTGTCGCAGTCTGTGATGCCGTACTGTACTGCAGACGCGTGCTCAACCCCGTTGGAAATGTACGCAACAGTGCCCATCCTCTTGACCAGGGATCGCACAAACCCTGCGTTTTGTCGGGTCTGTACGACTCCTGGCTCTTGACCTTTGGTCGGTGTACGAGATGCACGAACAGTTTTCGTAGGGTGAGTACTTTTTCATGTAGCACTGAATGCGGCAAGTAGGACTCGCCCATCCGCCCCTCCCCACCTGAAGCGTCGAGGAGGTAGGGGCGCTCTGGCGGGATTTTACGGTACTAGCAACTCAAGCGCATGCGCCTATGTGTGAGATAAAACGACCCACAGAATATATCAAATGACGCAAAACTCACTCATAAGCGCATGGCCCCTTAGGTGCGTCACTAAGGTATAAAGAAAATTGATGTGAAAACGATGCTCGGTGTTTTGCAGAGTTACGGGAACGAGCTTGTCAGCTCGAACGCCTTTCTTCTAACAGAATGTAGGGCACGAAACAGGAAAAAAAGCAATATTCAATACCAGAACTTACGCTTCAAAGTTGAATCCTCTTTGAAAACCACAGGCTTGGCTAAGTTCGTAAAGTGCTTATAATGCTGTGAAAACACTGCATCACAATTCAAGCGACAGTTCTCAGCACTGGTACAGAGGCCATTGTGCCACATCATTTTCACTTCAGCCTGTTCAACATATCGTGCACAGCGGTTCCTGACCAAGGGAAGGTTTCCCTTGGATGGGTTGCTAAGCTTAACAGAGTGACTTGCATTTCCAACAGAACAATGTTCAAAAACGTTGTCTTTCACGCAGTGTCCATTCGACAGGTAGGGAAAGTCCAAAGCCATCATGTTGAACTCTCGTCGAATGAACACCCTGAATGGCAGCTCTGCTTCAGCAAAACCTGCAGAGATAAGCAAGGAGTGACAAGACAACCACACACACACACATGTGTACACACGTACATGCACACACACATACATACACACTCGTACATACACATACAAACAGACTTTTAGGGAGGCTTGCGACCACCAAACTCCAAAAATTAAAAAATAATTACATAAAAAACAGTTCTAGGATGGCAATAAACAGAATTATTATTATCTTTATTCTCACGATGGCCGTAGCCAATAAGAGAGGGAGACAGTACTACGTGTTATCAATCAGAGTGGGTGCAATAAACCGGGAGAAACAGTGGCTAGTGGCAGCCGTGGTTTGGGTGCTTCATTTAAGTAAGGTCGAAGAAGGAAGTATATCCATTGCGAGGGCAGGTAGGCGATAGAGCTAGATTAAAACAATATACCTAGGCTGGGCTACAGCGGGGGTTGGAGCATGTGCAAATTGATGATACTATGATCGGGGTAACTTCTCTTCTGAATGCATTTATTTCTCGGAGGGAGTAACAGTGTGGTGGCAGGTGGTTGTACTGAGTGCATGCGGAGTACAAGGGTGAACGTTGAAGGCGGGTGGAGTGGGTGGTGGGGAGGGCGAAGACTCGATGACGCCTCAATTCTCGGCTTGGTGGCTCGGTGATGTAGCCTGAGGTCGCAAGCTGGATCTGTGGCGGGGATCGTTTGACAGCGATGGCGTGTGCAAAGAGCAGCTGCTTGAGCTTCCGGCGGGATAAGAGGGTTGGCCAAGTGACCTGGTGAAGTAATGAACTGTGGTGGCAAGGACTGAAGAGGGAGAGTCGGAGGCAACGTTTTGCTGACCGCCGTTGGAGACGTTCGAGGGCATCTTGTTGCTGAGCATTCATAGCTGACATAGCCAGAGAACCATATTCGATAACGGGGGCGTATATACGTGGTGCACAGTGCTGACAGGGCGGTGGGTGAAAGACGTCCACGAATCCGTCTCAAGAGGTGGAGAGTACGCGCAACTTTGCTTTCAATGTGCTGGATGTGGGCATTCCACTTCAGGTCGGCCTGAATGATGATACCCAGGTGTCGCTGGCTCTGGACTTTGTTCAGTGTTTCGCCTCTCAACGTTATTGTCATGGGGAAGGCTCTGCACAGTGTCATCACGACCGTCTTCATTTCGTTGACGGTCAGGTGCCAGGTGTCGAGCCACGTAGCGGCTTTAGTCACACTGGACTGGAGCGCTCGCTCTGCTGCCGCTGCTGAGTGGTCGCTAGCGATTAAGGCGGTGTCGTCGGTGAAGAGGCTGCTTCGTGTGGCTTGGGAGTTGCAAGCTGCTGGTAGGTCCATCGTGTATACGAGGAATAGCAGCGGGCCGAGTACCGATCCCTGAGGGACTCCTGCAGGGATGTCAAGCCAGTCGGAGGCTGTGCTTCCGATTCGGACCTGCTGCCTCCAGCCCAGGAGGTAGTTCTCAAACCAGCGGAGTGCTGCACCCCTTACGCCATGGTGTTCAAGCTTGTGCAAGAGGCCACAGTGCCACACGCGGTCGAAGGCCTTGGAGAGGTCAAAGAAGCAGACGTGGACTGACTTCTGGACCTCAAGGTCCGCAGCAAATTCGTGCAGCAGGCGGCTTATTTGATACTCTGTGCTGTCGTTCTTCCTGAAGCAACTGAAGCATCATGTCACGAAGGTTTAATTGAGATGTCACGAACAAAATCTAGAGAAAGTGGTTTTTGTTTTGTTTGTTTGTTTATTTAGAGTCGAAGAACAAACAGGCAAATTTGCCTAATTACATGATATCGACTAAAAAGGAGAATAAATTATAAAAGGCCAATGAAGGTAATGACACTGAGTAGAGTGGGTAGTAAAGTATTACTTTGCTAAAGCCAGTTAGGCCAGTAAAGGAAATAATAATACAGCGGGCAGTGGCATTACTGAAAAGCAGCATGTGCTGGGAGGGATCGCATGAATCGGTGGTACTGTGGGATTTTCCTGATGTCAGGCTGGAGCCTGTTCCACAGTGATACACATTGGAATGAGGCAGAATGTGTGCCAGCGGATGTCTTAGTGACTGGAAATTTAAGTGCTCGATTTCCCTGACTACGTGTAGCACGGCCGGCATTAAGAGGACTGAACATATCGGTAAGCAATGTGCTGCATTTACCCTGAAGGCAGCGCCAAGTGTAGCCAAGAAGCTTGTGGCAGTACATAACTTCTAGCGAGTGCAATCGCAATTGGCAATACAGCGGCGCAGATGGGGATGCAAATGGAGCGTTGTAAACACAGCGGACTGCGCGCTTGAGTAGCCGCTCTAGGCGCTCGAGCTGATGTGAGGTGAGGCCAGCAGAGAAACAGTTGCTAGCATACAGGAAGTCAGGAAGGATCAGGGACTTCGGGTATGTGATGCGGCACGGGAGGGGCATGCAGCGCCTGTTTCTAAACAGGACAGCTATTTTACAGGCAGCTCGCTTGGCGATCTGGTTGACCATTGTGGTCCACTTTAGATCTTGGTCCATGTGGACACCAAGATTCTTTGCGGATTCTACTTGTGCCAGTTGAACTCCAGAGCACATAACGCTGACACGAGGATTCACAGAACGATGGGCAGGGATGAACAAAATCTGGGTTTTACTCTCGTTTAGTACCAGGTTCCTGCTGGCAAGCCATCTGGCCAGGTGTGTAACTGCAGAAGACATACTGCGTTCCAGCTGATGTTTGTCCCTGCTACTAATATAGAGCATGATGTCATCTGCGAACTGAACTGTCCGCACACCATACGGTTGCACTTCAGCTGCCACACCACGGACATAGAGGACAAACAGCAGAGGACCAAGTACGGAACCCTGGGGCACACCACTGCTGGGCTGGAATACCTTGCTGTGCTGGTTCCCAATGACAACTCTTTGCTGCCGGTCACTTTTAAGTAGTCTGCCAGCCAATTCAGCGCACTTCCACCAACACCAATACTGAAGAGGTCGCGGATGAGGGTGCCATGTTGAACCTTGTCGAATGCCTTCGACATGTCAACAAAGGCGGCGCAAGTTGAGAGTCCGGAGTCTTTGGCATTGGCAAATGCCTCTGATGCCATCACAACAGCATCCTCTGTTGAGTGCTGTTTCCGGAATCCGAACTGGCAATCTGGGTAGAGGCTGTGGGTGGTCAAGAATTCAGTGAGTTGCGAATGTACGATGCGCTCAAAGATCTTTGAGATAATAGGCAACAGAGAAACAGGCCTGAAATTGGTGGCCTTAGTAGGGTCGCCGCTTTTGTACACAGGGGTGATATTTGCAAGTTTCATGGATAATGAAAATCTCCCTTCGGAAAGTGACTTGTTGAAGATGAGAGTTACTGATGGAGCTAAGAGGTCAGAGCATGCTGCTAGTACAAGAGCAGGTACGCCATCACTGCCCGTTGACTTTGTCGTATCTACACTGCTGAGCAACTTGCGTACACATGCGATGGATACTGGCTTGAAACAGCAGAGATCAGTACTTGCATGCGGACCAGAGGGGAAGGACAGCACCTTTGGGCGAGTCGCATCGGTGACGATGTCCGCAAACACTTGTCCGATTTCATCCGGGGGGCATTGAGGAGCAGTGTGGGTCCGTGTTCTGCCTGATACCTGGTTAATAACTCTCCATGTTTGTCTTGGCTGGCCTTCCGCATTGGCAAACTGATCCTGATAGTAGCAGGCCTTGAGTCGTCGGTTAAGCTGGTTCACATCACGTCTGGTCTGGCGGAAAGCTTCATGGTCCACAGGGTTGCAGGTGCGTAGCCATTTGCGGTGGGCCCAGTTTCGACTAGATATTGTGGCCAGCAGGTTTGCATCCATCCAAGGAACATGTTTGCGTGTTTTGGTGCAGCGGGTCCTCAAAGGAGCATGTTTGTCTAGGTGGTAATGGACAAAGAAATAACTATGATGGAACTGTAATGTGAAGAACAATAATAGGAGAAGGAGAAAATGTTACGAGTAATGACTAATTCTCCACCAACGTTTCCTGATCTTATACAATTGTTGAGTCCAAACAAGGCCAACTGACAACGGTAACAGGTATGTTGTTGGAATGACATTTATTAGAGACGGGATGACTAAGACCAGGACGAACGAAACGACTACATGGTGATTATTGAAGAGGGAGATTATTGAAGAGGGAGATTATTGAAGAGAGAGAGAGAGAGTTGAAGAGAGAGCAACACAATATAAAGGGCCTGGGTAGCTATGGCAAACATGAACGCGCAAGTAGCTACCCCAGGCCAAATGAATAATGCATGAACTAATGAATTATATGAATTAATATAATATTATTGTAATTACTTGTGGGCCTAACATACCACCCCTCCATGAAAAATGAATGCTGCGTCCTCGCAGAGAAAAAAAAAGAAAAAAGAGAGAAAAAGATAAAGATGACTGAGGGAGAAAAACACACACACACACACACACACTGCACGCGCGCGCGCACGGATCTCACAAAGTGTTTACTAGTATCATGCATTACAGTTATTGTTCCTGTACTTCTCTAAGTCTATTATAATACGGACATTTCAAAGTTACGGGCAGTGCCCGGTCCCGGACCGCCTAGATAAACGAGGTATGGATTGACTAAAACAACTCCAATGTGTGAGTACACGGGTAGGTGCTGTGTGACCAACACGCGGGACATCACCTTCACAGCACGGCCACGAAAGGACGAGTTGGTGGGGCGCTCTGGCGGCACTTTTACGGTACTTCCCAGCGCCGATTGGGCTTATGGGGTTTACCGGGTGTTAGCGGCCGTCGGGAACGGACACGATAATTTACTTTATTTTTATTTTTATTGGGCTTATGTGAACCACCCCTAACTAACATGACACACCGTGACTCACCTGAAAAGGCCTGTGGAGTTCTTTTAATGATAGAAAAATATAGACCTACACGTGCAGATAGAATAGAAAAGCAAACGGAGAATACGCACCAGTCAGATCAGTCAGCGGTCGGAGGCAATGGAATGGGATGGGGGAAATTTCTGAATACAAATTCATACATGTCACGTGCCTGTTGTCAGGTCGTTGCTAGCATTTGGCCAATCAGAGCAGCACCGTACCAGGGCATTATCAGACGATAATGCCCGGGTACGGCGTACCCATGCCCATTAGGAATGACCCCAGGCGTACTACGTACGCTGGTGCACTGCCAAATATGCACCAAGCCATGCCTTTTGGGCAGTGACCTGGTACATAATTGGCAGTACTCCAGCGCACATAGAACACATGGGACCATTCCTAAGGACACCACATACAGTATGCACATGCACTCGCACACACCACACAAAACGAAACTACTTACGTGCACCGTCCAAAACAATTATATTTTACTAGCAATGTCGACATAGGAGAAGTAATTAATAAGAACGTGACAATAGCAAACAGCATGTCATTACAATGCATTACTAAATTCAAGTCAATTGAGACGAACAAGTCGACAGGTGAACATGCATCACAAAGCTACCAACATGTATCTGGAATAGATCAGATTGTATCTCGAACTCCTACAAAATATACAGTTAAATCTACATGTACATGTACTTCAAATGTACCTAGCTACATGTCCAGTGTACATATGGACCTCAAGTAAACTGAAAGCAATGCGAACAAAATCTCAGATGTATGTGAAAAGTATCATTGTTTCAAATAAGAACACTTACAATGTACTCTCAAAACTAGTCTAATTACTAGTGCCACTTGGTCAAGGATGTTTGCGTCTAACGTTAATAGCAGCAGCGAATCAGCTAACTAGCTACTTCCGTACCGCCCAATAGGCAACACTAACACCAAAATGCAAAGGCATATTCTAGGAACTGCAAGTAAATCTGACACAAAACGTTCTATCATTCCACGGAGAAAGCTCCTTCCGATTTGGTCGACCTTCATTCATATGACAGCTGATTGGAACCTTCCTCCTCCCTTGACCATGTTTACCTGATTTGTCTACAACTAGGCACGTGGCATGTATGAACTATAATAAACACATGGTGCGTCGTGCATTTTGGCTGATTGTATGCCCTAGTGCGTAGCCCTTGGTCGTGCACCGTAGCCCGCGGGCCTGCGGCCCTTGGGCTACGACCTCGGGCTACGAACTAGGGCATAAATCAGCCAAAATGCACGACGCACATTGTGTTATTATATACTTCAGGACAATTGCCATTATAATCGAGAGGGGTAAGCAGCCACATTTTATTTTTATTTTTTTACTATGTTCACATAACCAGCTCGAAAAGAATAAGGAGAGACAATGGTACGGAGACTAGGACAAACTGACAAGTAATGAGCAGGCACTGTGCGGAGGCGTGGCAGTGATGGTGGGGCATTGATGACTCTGCCGACCTGAGGTCTCGGCGTCACGGCCCAAAACACGCACCAACAACAAAGAAAAAAAGAAGATAAGCTGTACAGGTCAGAAAGATGCGAAAAACCCAAGGCTTAACACGAGCGAGTGTGGGGAGAAACTATCATAGCATCATACTATTCATAGGGAATCGACTGCCCAGAGCCAGTTTGTGCCCCATCAAAATGTATGTGACTCAGAGTTACGGACATTTCAAAGTTACGATAAGTGCCCGGTCCCGGACCGCCCGCATAAACGAGGCATGGATTGACTAAAACAACTCCAATGTGTGAGTACACGGGTAGGTGCTGCGTGACCAACACGCAGGACATCACCTTAACAGCACGGCCACGAAAGGACGAGTTGGTGGGGCGCTCTGGCGGCACTTTTACGGTACTTCCCAGCGCCGATTGGGCTTATGGGGTTTACCCGGTGTTAGCGGCTGTCGTGAGTTCCCTTCGGGAACGGACACGATAATTTACTTTTTTATTTTTATTGGGCTTATGTGAACCAACTCTAACTAACATGACACACCGTGACTCACCTGAAGAGGCCTGTGGAGTTCTTTTAATGATAGAAAAATATTGACCTACACGTGCAGATAGAATAGAAAACCAAACGGAGAATACGCATCAGTCAGTGGCAATGGAATGGGATGGGGGAAATTTCTGAATACAAATTCAGGACAATTGCCATTATAATCGAGAGGGGTAAGCAGCCACATATTTTTAAATTTTTTTACTATGTTCACAAAACCAGCTCGAAAAGAATAAGGAGAGACAATGGTACGGAGACTAGGACAAAATGACAAGTAATGAGCAATCGCTGTGCCGAGGCGCAGCAGTGATGGTGGGGCATTGTTGACTCTGCCGACCTGAGGTCTCGGCGTCACGGCCAAAAATATGCACCAAAAACAAAGAAAAAAAGAAGATAAGCTGCAGTGGAGGATCTAGGGGACGGCGCGGTGGGCGCGCGCCCTCCCCTCAAACATTTCGATTTTTTTAGTGCATGCACATGGGCAGTTGCGCAAGTGTTTGCATATGCTGTGACAAGTAGTTTCTAGTGTCAGATAAGAAAGTTCTTCTGAATACGGAGTAGTTGTTCTCTTACTAGACTTTGGTTGACTTTTAGTTTTGAAATTAGTGTTCAGTTGACGAACTTGTATAGCTAAGTTGGTGAAGGGGATGGCGCACCGCCCGCCCAAGCGGCTACGGAGCCAACAAACTCTCCACGGATTTTTCGCGAAGCGAACTTGCGCTTCGTCAGCTGCTCAGTCGAGCGATCCGTCTTTGGAGGAGAATTCGGACCACCGCGAAGATCCTGAGATTGAGGTCTGCTCAGACTCTGATCTTCCCCAAATGGAATCCGAAGTAGATTCTGACGACGATGGTGGGACTGTCAGTAGTAGTGATGCGAGTCAGGAGCGTTTACCTGTTGAAACTACCGCAGATGACGACGTCGTGACTGCCACGAATGTGGCTGGTGGCACTGACGCAGCGAAGTTACTCGGATGCTGTTGATGCAGCTATTGGCGGTGCAACTCTCAGCGATGCAGAAAAGCGCAACATGCTTGGGAACCGGAATGTTCACAAGGCCATTCCGATCGACCATGAGCGGGTGCTGGACAGGTTCGCTAAAGCCAAACCCCGTCGTTTCCTGTTGTAAGACCCGACTGCACCGGAAGTTGCTTGATTGGCTGTTCGTTCATTCTGACTTGTGTCACATGATCGTACATAACACGTTACATGCCAATATTTGCTGTAGACATATGCATGTGTATATAAACGCTGAAACTGAACCCAATGCTCACACTACGAATGTTTTCTTGCTAATGTATTTCCACTCCATTCTTACTGCTGGACATGGCCATCCAAGTAATCGTGTATTTTATTATTTTGCCATTGTTCTCGATCTCAGCATGTCTTGAGCTTTGAAGCACTATCTTTACACAATTCAATGTAGTACGGCTATGTTCTACTACAGCCAGAGTCCTCAATGAAGTGGTTGAAAAAGTGGGAGTGCGCTAGTGAGTGTATGTGCTAAAATAGCAAATATACATAACCGCTAAGCCTATGACGTAAAATAGCCGCTATGTCGTAATGTGTACAGAATACATGTACCGCATGGGCTCCCTGTCATCAAGAGTCCATAACCCCCCAGAGTGTGCAACTCGTGATCCTTCTCAGCACAAATCAGTGCCGCAACGAAATCCAAACTTCATACGTCATGTAGTGAGTAGCTATGACGAAATGGGAAGTTTGGCCCGGACCTACTTCGCCCGTTTGCCCAATTTGGGGTCTTTCTTTACGAATCCACGGTCAGGTATTGTACGTAACACGCCTGGAAAGGCTCAAGTACACAAAGAATTATTTTAGAGTTGTCGAACAGTTTTCTCTTTTGAGTGTCTCTCCGATAAGAGAAGAACAATGGCCACTGTTGAACCTAAAGCAAAGCGCTCCCCATTGTCGCCGGAGTGCAGTGTCTCTGTGGACGATATTCGTCAGTTTTTGTTCGATCTGGGCTCCTCATTTTCTTCTCTCGATTGTCGAGTGTTGGAAATTGTAAAATCCTTCCAGCACCTGGATAGAGATTTATTGCTCTGTGCTTCTCACATGCAATGGAACACCCGTCAATTTGAACCGTCTGGTTGTGAACCCAGCAGGAACATTCACTGCAGGTTGAAGCACATCTACTTCGAAATCGATCGGGTCTTCATGCCGTGTGCCAAGAGCTATTTCCATCAAATCTTGTAAATCTATATCCATGCCTATTCTTGCTATCCCGGAGTCACGAACTCTCCCAATACAAGCTTTTCAGACAACGAGCAGAGAAACTCTCTGAGAAACTCTCTTCAAATAAAAAAATTCTGTGACTGTGAAATCAAAGCCGTTCTGCTGACACTGCATAGCCCGTGCAGCAAACGTTTTACGTGACACTTCCGTGGCTTGCTTCAACCTTCAACTAATTTACTTGGAACCCCCGCCGGATGTACCAGATATGCACATGGGGATATGGCCCCATCCGCCCATGCTTGCCCGGGGACCGGATGACGCAATGTTTGGATTTCGTTGCGCCAGACCCCAACCTGGAGTTGCACACTCTGGGGGGTTATGGACTCTTGCTGTCATGAATATTACCCGCGCCCTCCCCTCGGCTGAACTCTAGATCCGCCGCTGAGCTGTACAGGTCAGAAAGATGAGATGATGAGTCGGACAGTTGTCGATGAACATCAGGATGTTGCGTCCCGCTGCAGCAAACTTCCTGTCTAAAGACTTCAGCCAACTACGAAACAGATCCGACACCATCCACGCCTTCTTATTGGCCTCGTACTGCACGCCCAGCGCTGCTTTATTGACCCCTTTGAAGCACCTGGGGTTAGCCGATTTACCAATGACCAACGACTTCAGCGTCTCACCCATGGCACTGGCTGCTAGGAGGACGGTGATCCGCTCTTTGGATTGCTTACCGCCTTTGCACGAATCCGTTCGAACAACGAGAGAACGGTTCGGAAGGGTGCGGAAAAACAACCCGGTCTCGTCCGCGTTGAAGATGTCCTTAGGATCGTACCCTTTGCACAGATCCCCAAGGCGTTCCTTCCAGCTGGTCACGTCTTCTTCTCGGACATCAGCGGCTTCGCCCGACAGCACAGCTCCCTTGATGTGGCGCTTTTTCCATGCTTCGAACCGGCCATTAGAGGCAGCAAACGTTGTGTCCTTATCCCTTGCCTTTGCGAGTGCCATTGCTTTTTCTTGCAATAAACTTCCAGGCACAGGTATTCCGCGAGACCGCTCACTCGTGAACCACTTGAACAGAAGTTCATTTACATCCGCATACTGCCCTCGTCTGTTGGGAGCCAGCTGCTTAGCATTGGTGTTTCCGCCAGACTTCCACTCCTCCATAATTTTGTCCTTGTTCAGGAGTAAGGCCTGGATCTGGGTCTTGCCAACTCCCATTGCGAGAGCGATCGATCGTGCCGACTGTCCTTGCTGTGACTTCTCAATCGCTCGCACACGATCCTTCAGCACCCGGACCTTGCGGTGCTGCCTGGTTTCTGGCTTTCTTGACGCCATCCTCAAATTTCTCAACGAAAACGAAACAACTGCAATCCGAGTCCAATGATGACAACTTCCTTGGTCAAGTCGAAACTCGTCGAGCTAACTACATGCAGCAGTTGTTACTTGTGCCATTCACTGCCTTTTATACCGGAAGCGATACGACCTTTTTGACCTGTATGTCGACTCACTAGGTTTCCAGAGCAGCGCTGGCCTGGCCAGTGGACTAGTCACTATCGACTCCATCCTCATCTGGGTGCGCCTACACTGGCAACTGGTATCAGTGTAAAATAGAAATAGAAATAGAAATTCCAACATGTTGGAATTTTCAGCGCATATCAGGCGCGTACATGCCAGTCACTTGACTGGCGTGTCAACAAATTAGTACTCGAAGGTGTCGCACTCGCTAAATACGACTCAGATTGCTCTTTTTTTGGGAAAGCCTGACCACGCGTTTGGCCACGCTTGAACCGCAAGCGTACTGCATCTACGCGCCAGTTGTGAACACAGCTTAAGGTCCATTCACTGAGATCATGGCTCACGTGTTAGAATTTCCACGTCAACACATTTCCTTACGCACGAGCCCCCCAAATCCAGTGAATGTACGAACAAACGTGTGATTTCAGGCGTTCATGTGCCAGTTATTAACACCGCTTTTACGCCCTGTAAACTAGAAACGATAAGACAGTCGGAGAAGAAGGAAGAAAACAGTAACAGCGTCCATCAGTTTCCGTTTTATTTTATTTTATTTCGTACGATGTTCATATACCCTACTCGTAAATAATAATGAAAGACAATGGTACTGAGGCAAGGACAAACGTGACAACTACGGAGTAGGGGCTGCAATGAGATGCAGCAGTGATGGTGGGGCATTGATGGCTCTTACCGGATGAGCAGTTCAATGCATAGCTGTCTATGTTCGTCACGTTGCTACCATTACAATGACACGTGTGCAGACCCGTCTGTTTGTATTCTCGGCACAGAGCGCCCTTGGCCGTACAGATGGTCTCGTTCCACTTGCAGTAGTCAGCAGCTGAGTAAGTAAAGAACAGAACAATGCACGGGGTGATACAACCGGTCACGTTAAATGCTGCCATCCTACAGAGCCTACCATCGACGGCAGGGATACTTGAATAGTTTAACCCCAAGCGTGTACAGGGTAATGCAGATTATCACACGAAAGATCACACGCGGGATAACTTGCAGGATTGGGAATTCAGGATCAAATACACTTGCACGGAGAGTCCGTGTGGACTGGCTTTCATACAAACCATGTTTCGTATGGAGATTTTGCAACATCGGGTGCAGAAAGATTTTTCCGTACAGATTTGGTACGAGAAACATCGATTTTCCGTGGGAAGTTTTGATTTCGGTATAAAATTTCAAAATAAAAAGGCATAGCGCGGGAATGTGACGTGTTTGCGATCGTAACCTAGGCAATGACGGCAAACACATAAGTTCCGTACTCCAGAACATATAATCACTGCTCGAAAACGACGTTTTAAAAAATACGTAGCGCCTCTACGGATTTTGGCACGAAAAATCGTACTCCGGAACCTCTCCAATGTCTTACCGTGAGTCTGATCTTGCACGTCAAAGTGTTTGTCATAATTATCATGACATCAGGTGACAACTACTGCTGTTATTGCCAATCAGGGACCTTTCTCAGCGTGCAATAATGCTCCATTCCAGCCCACCCAGGCGGTTGCATATTACACGATATACCACGCTGTTTTATGTCTTGACTTCCCAAGTGCTTTTTCAAACGAAAACCTGGACCACACCATCTCCCTTTACGCTACGATTGACTCAGTGGACCACACACACACATGCACGCCCGCCCGCACCCACCCACGCCTGGTATCCACCACACAGCTGTTTGAGGTGACTTTTTCTGGCCAGTGAATCCCTATTTTTCATTTTTCCATTTTTTTCTACACACACACACACACTTGTACTTGTTGCAAATTGCCAAAACTGGTCACGTGGGTCTCCCCGGGAGAGGGGAGAGAGACTCAAAAGGAAACTTGGAAAGATGACTCAATTGGCTATTGAACCACCCAACGGCCGACACCCCCTGAAATCCCCAAAACTCTGGGTGGACTTGAAAATGATCCCACTTATGGGCTCACCACACCTCAGTAAGTGGGTGAGGACAAGGTGCAGAAAAAGGATTGACGGCATCCGGGTATCCGTCCAGGGATCCAACTGCAGTTACCCCTGCCCCAGTGAAGGTAATTCTTGCTACTAGTGTGGGTGGTTAAATCAGAGTGAATCCGATATAAGCTTCTCTAGCACCATTGATTACACAAGGGTTAATCTAGCCAGAAGCAGTCCATGGTTAACAGGTGTGTATACTTCAAATAGAAATAGATTTTTGGTTGGAGGAAAGCAAATCAGCACACGAAGCACAGAAGCCATATGGGCCACAACCAGCTAAAACATGTCTTAGAGTGAAAATTTTCAAATTTTGTTTTCCTCCAGAAAACAGTTCTTGGGACCTTACTTGACCTCTTGAAGGTGATACAGGGCAGAAAAGTAGTCTACAAGTGCCCCAAACACCGCTTTCAAAATATGTACTTTGAAATAGAAAATGACAGTTTTCGCAAAGTCTGACACAAAGAGACAAACTATTACTTAGTGGCTGTTGTGGCGGAGCACAATACAACGGAACTAAAGATGTTGACACCGACTTGAGCATGTCAACGTCATCAGTTCAAAGGCATGGCCCAAGTTCTTCCTGGAAAGCAACACGATGCTCTGGGCGGCGTTGCACTTGCATACTCTTTCGATTCTGGCAGTGACACTTTCGATCGTCGCCTGCGTTTCCGAGACTGCATCAGACGCCTCTTGAGAGCTGAACGCAAGTAACGTCGTAAGGCAGCTGGTTCGCCGCCTATATGATTATGTACTAGCCCACAACTTGTGCCTCTTCGCTACTGGAGACGACGGGGACGATTCAGCTTCGCTGTCGACATCAACATCACTGAGATCCCAACAAATTGTCAGCGTCGCTCCAGACCCACCGCCACGGACTTGCAGACACCTGAACAAACCTGGGCCATGCACAGCGACCGTCTGGCCCGGCGAGCTGCCCTAGTATCACTAGATGCGGACATTGTCAGTCTTTGCTCGCCAGCTACTTGAAGTAGACCGCCAAACAAATGTTTGAACAAAATTTGAGAAGATGATCGCCACATCATGAATCATTTGAATGAAGTGCAGAGTGAACGCGCTCCAAAAAAAACATTTTTTTCATTTCGTCATTTCCCAACTTTTTTTTACGAAACCCCAAAGACATGTTTTAGCTGATCGCGGCCCATATAATTTTTCGACTAGGCTTTTCATTCCATTACTCTTCAGGTCGAATACAATGGTGATTAACAAGGTAGTAAGCAAGTCCTTATAACCGGCACTTTTGGCGGGCAGAGCATTGACAAAAATAGCACTTGAAAAATAGCGCTAGTGGCGCCAACAGCATATTTGGCGGTCAGAGCATAGACCAAATAGCACTTTAAAGATAGCGCTAGTGGCAATAGAAAGTATATGAACCCTGGAACCAACAAAGGTGGCAGATACAACAGTACACATTCAAGCAGCCGAGCCTGTTGGCAACAGACCCAACATAATCAGGCATGCGTGTACCCACCAACCGAACTAGCTGACACACCCACACCCACGCACGCACGCACGCACGCACGCACGCACACACACACACACACACACACACACACATCAGGGACTAATTTACTTCAAAAAAATTGCATAGCAATAATTGCTACACACCCCGACGTTTGCATAGCAACGCAACAATTTTGCATAGCAGTTTTTTTCCGTCGACAATGCAGTCTTCAGTGCACTTCCACTTATACTGTAAACGAACGCCGTGCTGTAATTCCTCAAACCACGAAGCGAGGACGCCTTCTCCCTGCACATCTTGCAAAATATCTTGGTCACAGCTCCGCCACTCGACTCTGCGCGATTCCATTCTTTTTTGGGATCAAATTCAGCAATCCACTTGTCCACAGTACCTTGCTTCACAGACATGCCGGCAGTGAAGAGGCTTCATCAATAAGGCTAGCAGAATTTTACAAAGATAAGTCCCGAACGGTCGAGATGCCTACTGCTAGTGAAGCAACGCGGTCTATATCTCAAAAGCAGGGAAGTACTTGTCGACACTCGCCTCGTGCTTCCTGGGCTGCACTTCAAGTAAGTAGTTAGTTAGTTTCCAAGTGCACGCGCTGCGGTGCGCGTGCGGAGATAGTGTCCCGCGGCCCGCGCGTGCGTATGGTGTAAAATCTACCTAGCAGTGCAGGCTGGACAACCACACACACACAGTCTAATCTAGTCACAGTGCATGGCGCGCCATCTCGCGGCGCCAAACCAGCCACACACACTGTAAAGCTACACATGTGCATGCGCTACGCATGCACTACTTAGCTAACATGTATGTTGTGTCGCAGTTTACCGCGACTCACTACGAACTTCGAATCGCAGACACTGTGTTTTGCGTCGCAAACTGCGATGCGATACCGGTTAAATTAGTCCCTGCACATGGTTAAACCTAACAGCCCTTCAGTACAACACACAGTTGGTAACCAGCTCTGCAATACCCACACAGTCTCTGCACTACTATGCTGGTAAAAAACAACAACAACAAAAACCATTAAACTCACATTCATACAAAAGAACATTAAACTCACATTCATACAAAAGAACATTAAACTCACATTCATACAAAAGAACATTAAACTCACATTCATACAAAAGAACATTAAACTCACATTCATACAAAAGAACATTAAACTCACATTCATACAAAAGAACATTAAACTCACATTCATACAAAAGAACATTAAACTCACATTCATACAAAAGAACATTAAACTCACATTCATACAAAGGAACATTAAACTCACTTTCATACAAAAGAACATTAAACTCACATTCATACAAAAGAACATTAAGGAGGCTCCCACCTAAAGAAGTAAAAATAAAAGGTCCATGGACACCCTGTT